CCCTGGTGGCATTTCCAATTTGCCAGCTTCTCTGGTGCCCTGGTTGGAGTATATAGGAAACCAAAACAAAACAAACAACCCACCCCTCCTCCAGGGAACTCACCACTGCCCTGGGTTGTTCAAGTCCCAAGGTCCATAGACAGTTTGCCTTCATTTCTTCAACTTGGTGAGTCTTAAGTTTGCTTCATGTATTTTTTCCCATGGATTTTAAGTCTAATAAGTGGAGAGGAATAGAGCAAAATGTGTTTACTCCATTATATCCAGCACTATGGTTTCTTTCTTATCTTTGCTCTTTTGCACGTACAATTTTTTTTTCCTGTTGCTTTTAAAATTCTCTCATCACTGATTTAAATCAGTTTGGCTGTGATTACCTTGGAATAGTTCCTCCCCGACCCCCATATTTCTTGTGCTTGGGATGAATTGAATTTCTGAATCTGTGGATTTATAGTTTTGACCACATTTGGAAATTTGTTGGCTATTTCTTTAAATATTTATTCTGTACCCTGCCCTTTCTTTTTCCTCTCTTCCAGGGATTCCAGTTACACATAATTCGGCTGATTGAACTTGTCCACCAGCGCTCTGATACTCTCTTATTTTTGTTTTTCTTTATTTCAATTTGTAATGTTTTTATTGCTGTCTTCAAACTTACTAACGTTTTCTTTTGCAGTGTCTATTAATCCCATTGACTGCATTTTTAAATCTCACACATTTTTCTCTCTAGACGTTTGTCTGAATTTTTCTAATATCTTCCACATCCCTACTTAATATATCAATCTCTCTTCCTTGTTGGACATGTGGAATGTAGTTATGACTGTTGGGCTGTTAGTATCCTTTACCAAATACAAAATCTATTATATCAAATATAAAATCTATTTTTTTTTTTTGTTTTTGAAGATTGGCATCTAGGCTAACAACTGTTGCCAATCTTTTTTTTTTCCTCCCTGCTTTATTTCCTAAACCCCTCTTCCCCCCAGCCCAGGACATAGTTGTATATCTTAGTTGCAGGTCCTTCTAGTTGTGGGATGTGGGACGCCGCCTCAATGTGGCCTGACGAGTGGTGCCATGTCCGCGCCCAGGATCCGAACCCTGGGCCACCGCAGCGGAGCATGCAAACTTAACCACTTGGCCATGGAGCCGGCCCCCCTAAAATCTATTTTTGTCAAATCTGGATGTTTCTATTGATTTTTCTCCTTATTACAGTCATGTAGTCCTGCTGCTTTCCTTTTTTTTGGTGAGAAAGATTTGCCCTGATCTAACATCTGTTGCCAATCTTCCTCTTTTTTTGCCTGAGGAAGATTGGCCCTGAGCTAACATCTGTGCCAATCTTCCTCTATTTTGTATGTGGGATGCCTCCACAGCATAGCCTGATGAGTGGAGTAGGTCTCTGCCAGGGATCTGAACCCACAAACCTGGAGCACTAAAGGGGAGCACTCAGAATTTTAAACACCTGGCCATGGGGCAAATCCCACCTGCTTCTTTACATGACTGGTAAACTTTATCTACTACCAAAGACTGTGAAAGTTACTTTCTATGTGCTTGGTATTTTTGCATTTCTATAAATACACTCAAGCTTTGTTCTGGAATATATTTATGTTACCTGGAAACAATTTGTTCCTTTCAAGATTTGCTTTAAGCTTTTCTAAGTGGGACCAGGGAATCTTTAGCCTAATGCTAACTTGCTTGTCTACTGAGGCAATAACTTTTTGAGTAATCTAACTAGTGCCCTGTAAATTATGAGGTTTACCTCTGGTTGATGGGACACAAACTATTCCTGGTTCTGGGTGAGCTCCAAAGAATACCTGTGCTCTTAAGCATTTCTTTTGCTGGCCTTGCGTAAGTCTCCTCATGACCTCACCTATGCACCATCAGAACTTGGCTTGATGCTCTACCCTGCAAACTCTAGCCATCAGGGCCTTCCTGGACACTCGGTTCTATCTTGTCAATTTAGGGAGATCATGAGGTTCCCTCTATATTCCCCCTCCCTGTGCCAAGATGTGGAGATGCCCTCTAGGCAGTAAGTTGGGCCAAGTGTAGGGATCACACTTGTTTATACTTTGTTAGGCATTACTGTTGTGCTGTCTGATGTCCAATTTCCAAAAACCAGTGTTTCTTCTATTTTATCTGGTGTTTTTGTTATTTTAGGCAGGAAGGTAAATCTAGTCTCTATTACTCCATTTTGGCTGGAAACAGTATTTTTTAAAAAAAATCTAGACTTACAGAAGAACTGCAAGACTACAGTTTCCATACACCCGTCTCCCAGTTTGCCTGATATTAACATTTTACATTACCATATCATAATGATCAAAACCAGGACATTAACACTGGTCTATCACTTAAACTACAGGCTTTATTTGGATTTCACCAAGTTTTCTCCACTAATGTTCCAAAGATCGAATCCAGAATCTTGCACTATATTTAGTTATCAATTTTCAGTAGTCTCCTCCAATCTTTGAGAGTTTCTCAATCTTCCCTTGCCTTGGGTAAGTTATTTTACAGAAGGTTCTTCATTTTGGGTTTGTCTGTAGTTTCTTCATTATTAGATCAGAGTTATGCAGTTTTGGTGAGAATACTACCCAAGTGATATGCCCTTAGTGCATCACCTTCGGTGGTATATGATGCCTCTGTCTTACAACTGGTGATCACTTCGTTAATTAAGGTGGTGTATACAGTGTTTTCTCTTTGTAATTAAATATTTGGGAGAGATATTTTGAGACAATTCTAATAGACTGTTTTCCTCAAACTTTCACACCTTGAAATTTTAGCATCCATCAATGGATTTTGTATATAATTATTACTATTATGGTGATTTCCTATTTCCCTCATTGCTTTGACATTTGTTAATTAGAATTCTTCACCATTAAATGGAACCAGGATTCCTTCATTGGGGGTAGTTAATGTCATGGTTCAGGACAGTAATAAACAGGGTAGGTCTGGAACATATTCTTGTATTTGGGGAAAAACCCAAAAGTTTCCAAGTAAGCTAAGGAAAATGTGGAAAGGATAAAGGAGCAAATGAAAATGGAAAGGAATGAAGTTTTATCAAGTTGAGCACCAAAAAGAAGTAGGAAAAAGAACATATGTTAACAACAATAATTACATTATGGTTTATTGGAGTAGAGGTCTGTGAAATGACAACAATTCATAACAAAGTTCAAAGAAAAATGTTAATGTAATGTGACCAAATGTAGCTGCAATTACAAATAAGGGAGACATAATAAGAATTCATTAATTTTTAATTTATTCATTAATGATTTCAAAAAGTAAGTGCTAAGACATGTGGTTATTTTCTGTTATTAATTTTAAGTCCGTATATAAGATTTAGGTGGCTCATTGTTTTCATTTGTTCAAGCAAGCAAAAAATTAAAACACACACAAAGAAGTGTAGGGCAAGTAGTTCTAGAGTACTACACCAAGAAGAGGGAAACTAATCAACAGTGACGGTAACTCAGAATAACCAGGCAGAGTGGGATCAAAGAACAAATCAACAGTATAAGCACATAATAGCTCAGTAGAGTGAACTATTAATAATTATAATAAATATAGTTGAAATGTTTCAAAGAAATGAAATAGCAAATATCTTAAGGGTAAAAACAGAGACTCATTTTCTGTGAAGGACATGAAATATCTACTAGTTACATATTATAAGAACTAAGGAATATTTAAAGAAAACATAACTCGGTGTATTCCAATGACAAAATGGCTTAATTGCTACTGCTGACCATACGAAAGTTTAAAGAATCCATAAATTCTGGGAAAGACACCTATTTCAAAAATTAAAATCTAATGGATGATGGTGACATAAATGAATCTCAACATAATAGGTAAATTTTCTTATAAAAATCTAATAACCTGTGGCTCATGATCACATTGACTGCATACCCAGGACAACTGTCCCAAGAAGGAGATGATGGACAGCTGAGATTTGCAACCTTAATCTCTGTGACTGTCCTCCTTTTCTTTTTTCTTTTTTTGGAGTCAGGAAAGATCCCTAAAATCAAAGGTCTGTTGATTGTTCAACTGCCAAAACCTAGTAAGGCAACACTGAGAGGGAATAAGAAGGAAAATTATAGATAGATACAAAACCCAATTGAAGCCATGGTAATGAAAGTTATACATCCTCTTAATGTAAGTTTAGTGACCAGTTTATAATCGTTGCAATAGTTGTAGATTTTTGCCTCCTTTTAAAGATGGTTAACAAATTTAAGAGACTGATAAGATTGAGTTAGTTAATTTTATGAAATATTTAAAAGTGCTCCTTTCATTTGGATCCCGACTGTCACTGCCTAGTGGTGAAGGCTCCTTAAAGGAATTTTGTTGCAGTAGGTATTTAGGGAGATCTGTCGCGTCAAAATAAATTCAAATAGAAGTCAGCCATTTGATGACAGAAGATTATACATCTACCATTAAAACAAAAACAATAGAAAACAAAACAAAAAAAATCGACACAAACACCACAAGACTTTAAAACCACATAATATCTGACTGGGAGGTCTAACTCTCGGGAAGAAGGAAAGTACGTCATATATAATAAGCAAAAAATTAGAATGCAGAAGATGTATTTGAGTAATATTACAAATCAGTAAGCCAAAAATAATAGACAAAAGAACAAAAAAACATAAACACCAAAAGTAACTGTAAGCAAAACATGCCTGCACAAGAAACTCAAATGAAAATAACTCAAATATTTAATAATTAGGGAAACACATTTTCCACACATTTCAGAAACAGGTTAATAAAGACCATCTTACATAAATAGATATTCAGAATGTTAACTGATATAAAAAGAGAAATATTTGGCAATATCTAACAAAGCTGAAAGTATGTATCACCTATGACTATGCAGTTTTACTGCTGAGTAGAGTAGCCATATATGAGTCTGGAAACAGATTTAATAAGAAAGATAGATTGAATCCTCTTCATTACTTCTTATTAAATGCACAGGTCTTTCCAGTGAAACACAGAAACAAAAGGCATTTGTACACATCTTTCATTCAAAAGACTTCTCACCAGTATAACTTCTTTGATATCAAGTAAGGTGCCTGCCCATACTAAAGGCATTCCCACATTCCTTACATTCATAGGGTTTCTTACCAGTATGAATTCTCTGATGTTTTGTAAAGGATGAACTATGTCTAAAAGCCTTTCCACATGCCTTGCATTCATAAGGTTTCTCTCCAGTATGAATTCTCTGATGTTCAGTAAGGGCTGAACTGTGTCTAAAGGCCTTCCCACATACCTTACATTCATAAGGCTTCTCACCACTATGAATTCTCTGATGTTGAATAAGGGCTGAAGTAAGTCTAAAGAACTTTCCACACTCTTTACATTCATAAGGTTTCTGACCACTGTGAATTCTCTGATGTCGAGTAAGTTCACTACCTACTCCAAAAGCTTTCCCACATTCCTTACATTTATAGGGTTTCTCACCAGTATGAATTCTCTGGTGTCTAGTCAGAGATGAACTATTTCTAAAGACCTTTCCACATGCCTTGCATTCATAGGGTTTCTTACCAGTATGAATTCTCTGATGTCGAGCAAGTTCTCTACAGACTCCAAAAGTCTTCCCACATTCTTTACATGCATAAGGTTTCTCACCAGTATGAATTCTCTGATGTTCAATAAGCTGTGAACTAATTCTAAAGACCTTCTCACATTGTATACATTTGTACGGTTTTTCACCAGTGTGAATTCTCTGGTGTTCAGTTAACTGTGAATGAAATCTAAAGTCCTTGCCACATTCCATACATCTATAAGGTTTCTCATCTGTATGGATTTTCTGATGTCGAGTAAGTTGTGCATGCACTCTAAAGGATTTCCCACAGAAAGTGCATTCATAGGGTTTCTCACCATCATGTATTCTTTGAAGTGGAGTAATTGCTTCAACTCTTCTGAAGGTTCTTCCGTATTCCTTACATTTATAGCACTTCTGATCATCATGAATTTTCTGATGTACACTAAGGTCTTCATAAAAACTAAACGCATCCTCATATTCCATATATTTACAAGGTTTTATACCAGTATGAATATTCAGTGGTAGGGTATGTGGGTCATCTACTCCAAAGGTTTTCCAATATCTGTTACATTCATAGGTTTTCTCACCAGTATGTATTCTGTCATATTCATCAAAGTTTAAGTCACAACTGAAGACCTTCCCATATTCTTTATATTCATAGGGCTTCTTGCTTTCATGAATTCTCTGATGTAATGTAAGAGATTCATGATTTTTGTAATTGGGCAATTTTTCAGAGATGATTGTCATTTGACTGAAGGATCCCACTTCAGGTCTTCGTACTTCAGTCTTGCTTTTGCTCTGCCAGTCATTTCTAAAAAAGGAGCTCTCAAAACCAAGGAATTTACTACCTTCTGTTACTTTCCACTCAGAACTGTTGTTTTCAGTAATGTCCTTCTCTATAGATAAATTCTTTGTGTCATATTTGGACTCCAAATCTGAAAGAAATGAAAAAAAGTAATTTACTTTTTCATGTGTCCCAAAAATAAAACAGTTACAGAATGCAGAGGAGAAAAACTGAAAATAACTCACAATATAAGTGAATGAGTAAAATACTGTTACGAAGTTTGAAGAAGGGTAGAGAAAGCTCAGAGAATGATAAAAGCATAATGTAAGATTGCGAGGTTTGTGATAATGGAAAAAGATTAACTCAGTGGGTCTGAAGTTTAGGCGATGATCATCACCTGGTAAGCTTGTTGTCAAGCACTGTTGTTCAGGAAACAGTCCAGATAAACTGACTCAACATCTATAGATGTAAAACTGCTCATCAGTATCTTATAGAGATACTGCTAATGCAGACCAAAATCTGATAATCTATAAATACTAATAATTTGGTTATTTTTTTCTTTTTTTACAATAGAATCCAAACACTTTACCTTGGATAATAAGGTGCTTGTACAAAGACCTCATTTTAATCCATTATCTCTTTTCACCTAATCTTTTATTTCCTACATCAAACCATATTTCTTATCACAGAGAGCTACCCATAGGATGTTTTATTTCTCAGAAATGGGTTCTTTATATACCACCTCCTTTTCATTGTCCACATCTGAACGTTACTACCTTCAGAAAGGATGTACTATCTAACTCTAAGTAAGTTCATATCTATCTCTCTATTCTACTATCTAATTCCTTATCCTCATATCCACTTTTTAATTGTATATTCAATAATTTTCTGTTGTTGTACTGTTTATTTCCCTATTCCTTAAACTCCAAAAGGACAAATGCAATCATTTTTTAATGTGCTACTGAACAATGAGTCCCAAGCACATAGTAATTCATAATTACAGAAAAAGTAAATCACTGGATTTAAGGAGTCTAAATAAGAATAAAGGAAATATTACAAAGATAGTCACTAGAGAACACAATTGATTATCAAAATGATTATACGACTATAAGAATAATGCAAAATTATAGGATGTCTCCAGGCCTTCCAACTGTCACACTATACTACAGAGATTATATATATATTTATAGTGATAGGCCCTGATATCGGTTTCCCTATGTTAAACCCAGCATATATGGGGTTAAAACCAAAGCACTCATTCCCAGCTTACTCTCTGGCTTCCTGGTTCCTGGATCCACTATCCTCCCTGGAGACAAATGGCTAAGGACAACCACCTGGATTCATTATCTCCTCCTCCTCCTCCCTGCCAAGGAGCTACAGGCTGGTGGAAAAGCTCCAACCAGCAAGGGCATATGCTCCCCCTCCCCTAGCTAAAACCCCATATAAAAACCCTTACTTTTAGCTTTTCAGAAAGTTTGAGATTTCAGCATTATTGCTCAGTGCTGTGCAATAATAAAGTCCTACTTTCTTCCACTACACCTGGTGTCAGAGATTGGCTTGCTGCGCAACGGGTGAGCGAACTCACTTCAGGTTCAATGTCAATAGCATATTAAGATACATTCATATATATGAATAGTGTTTATAAATGATTGTTTTCCAGTTCCCTTTCCAATTACACATATTGTCTCCATCGCTGCTGTTAATTCATTCCTATGCAGAACCATGATTTTTTTCATCCCACGTGTCAATAAAGATGAGGTGTTTTAAGTAGCATTTTCACTATTATTCATCTATCCTACTGAAATCTTAGTCTTTACGTAAATGTTTTCCTCATGCTCTTTTGCAGATGGTCCTTTGCATTTCCCTATACACAAAACCAACATTGCTGGACTTTCCAAAAATATTTTAGATATTATAATAGGTATATACCATAAGACACATGCAATTCTGAGCAAAGCTTGTGGCTGAGAAGGAGAATACACTAAGACAACGAGATGGAAAGGGTGGTGTTGGCAGTCTAGAGTGTAAGACACTTTGTACCAAAGGGTCTGTTGGACACTGCCTGGAGACTGGCAATTAGATGAGGGAACAACATGAGTAAAATCCAAAGTAACTGATAAACATTGCATAATATAAGACAAAAATAATTTCCTGTGACAGAATTATGTTAACAAAGGCAAAATAATGTAAACATCATTATTTGACTAAAACAATAAAATCATAAATGAATGGCAGTATCAGTAAATCAAAAGCATTCCACTTAGAAATGTTGAAGCTCTCTACCAAATAATTGTTTAGTCAATGTGGAAATGTAATTGAAACTATAAAATTTTCAGATGGCATTCAAAATATTACTTATTATTGAAAATATTTATTATTAAAATCTATGGAACTCAATAATAGTCACATAAAAAGTAAGAATTAAATGCTTAACATTTATAAAAATGAAGGAATGAAAATAACCAGTGTATACATCCCACTCAAGAAGACAGAAAACAACAAAGTAACCCAAAGCAAAGGTGAGGGGAGAATTCAATAAATATGGAATCAGAATGTGATGAGTTAGAAAACATATAAAGAATATAATTAACATATAAAAAATAAAAATGACAAAAGAGACAGAATTACCAGAGAGGGTATTTTAAAAAATGTTATGACTCCTATGTTAATCAATTTGAAAATGTTGACTTACGAACTATTTTCTAGTTAAATAAATGTTGAAAACCCCAGAAACCATAAAGGTTGAGAAAGGTCAATTTGCTAAAAAGAGAGAAAACTGTCGAAGACTCACCTCTCATGAATCAAAAATTTTATGCATGCTTATTGCCCACGTTGTGGCAATAAACCAGGTAGTGAACCAGCGCTCCTAAAACAAAGATCCGAGTCACGATCTGAGCAGGGAAGACAGAAGATTTGGCACTTGTTGTGACAGAAAGCAAGAAAGTTTTATGATATTAATGGGTCGTGTCAAAAGGACACAGAAATCACCTGTGGGAGCTATGGGAGACCACCATTTTGACGATACAAGAATCAAAAGAAGGGAACAAAACTTTGTGTACTAAAACATGCTAACTAAAATTAATATGGAGTATTGATTTTTAAAAGAGAACAAAAAACAAAACATATAAGACCAGAAGAACTCACTTTTAACCAGTTCTTCTGTCTGGTATGGGACAGGGAAGGTATAAGGTGTGCCTGGGAAAGCTTCAGAAAGCAAGAATAAATTCAAAGATTAAAGGATCAAGTCAAAGGTACACAGAAATAACTATAAGGAATTACTCAACAATCAAACAACTGGGCATCAAAAGTCAGATTGGTGGGGCCAGCCCAGTGGTGCAGCAGTTAAGTTCGCACATTTTGCTTCGGCGGCCTGGGGTTTGCCAGTTCAGATCCTGGGGGCAGACATGGCACCACTTGTCAAGCCATGCTGTGGTAGTTGCCCCACATATAAAGTAGAGGAAGATGGGCGTGGATGTTAGCTCAGGGCCAGTCTTCCTCAGCAAAAAACAAAAACAAACAAAAAAAAAAAAACAAGGATTGGTGGCAGATGTTAGTTCAGGGCCAATCTTCCTCAAAAAAAAAAAATCAAAGATCGGTAGGCTAAAGTATACTGAATGAATGAAAATCAATAAATCCATAACAAGGCATAAATAAGAGAAGGTCAGAAAATTTCAAGTGCACCATTTAAGGTGCCTAATTAGTTACAGTCATGTAAAGAACATAATCAAACACTCTTCCTGCCTTTCCCATTAGAATTACTTCTCAAGTTTACAAAGAGAATGAGGGCAAGTAAAAAGAAGGAATGACTGTTTTAGAAAAACATTGATTAAAATGAAGATTTTCAGTTGTAAAAACCTTTAGGTGAACTGATGATAAAGAACTGTATATCCACAGAATGCCAGACTAAGACCCAGAGATCTCTTTCTGACCATGCTATCTGAATTAGCTCTTTCTCCATCATTTTTTATCCCTTTATTTTGCTTATTTTTCTTCATAGCATATATCACTATATATGATATGTCTTCTAATTGTTTGTTTACCTGTTTATTATACATGTCACTAGTATGTCAATTCCATAAGCGCAGGATCGGTATTGGTCTTACCATTGTACTAACAGGGCTAGCACAATATCTCAGATAATAGGTAGACACCTATTATCTGCTGAGTATATAAATGACCAAGGTTTTTTTTTGTCAGGAGAGGCATTTGTATAAGTCTAAATACAAGAGGAACTGGAAAAAATGTTGGTTACACTGGGGATCTTAATTTGCTTCCCCAAGTGTCAGGCTTTTTTGCCACAGGGCTTTGAAGGGAGTCTCCCAAATACATCACAGGGGCCTACCTCCTCCCGGATCAGCTGGGGCTTTTTAGTGATGACTTTCCTGCCTCCTCATCAGCCCTCACACACCTGTGTTCTTGTCACATCACTCGCAACTCTCCTGAGCAACTCCCCTTCCTCCAATAAGGGAATCACAACTGGCTTAGAAATGGAACACCCTGCGTACAACAAAGAAATGTAACATAATGTATAAAAAATAGAATTGTAAACAAATCTAAATAACACTTTTGAGAATTGGTTGTTTTAATAAATGAAGTTGAAGTGATAATGATAAAGACTTTGGAGAAGAGAAATGTGAGAAGATTGAAAGAACATTCACCTTAGAGTGACTGCAGAGTTACAAGGTATAAAGAGACCAGACAGGTAAAGAAATGTCTTATTTTACTGAAACCCATGCTAACTCTTTGTCTTCAGGGTCAGAATATTTTAACAGTTAAAAACAGTGGCTTTGGTGCCACACTGCTTGGGTAGAAAACCTGCTTCTGATACTGATTGGCTGTGTAACCTTGGAGAAGCTGCCTAAATACTCTTTGTCTTAGCAATCTCTTCTAAAAACAATACAAGTAGTACTTATGTCATAGGGTTACTGAAGAATTAAATGATTCAAAATATTAAAAGTGCTTAGAACATCATGTGGTACAAGGCAAGAACTATGTGAGTTGTGAGGAAAATAAGGTCCTTGCTGGAATACTGACAATGTTAAGTACAAAGTTCTTTAACCACAAAGCAGGTGTAAGACAATACTTGTGTCAGGTAATGAATATGAATTTTGTTTAACAATCTAGCAACATATAAATTATACAAATTCTTTTAATAATCATAACAAATCAGGGCACAGTATCTTAGCTGTTCACTCAGAAGGTGGCTAAGAAAATAACATAAAGCATTTATAGCAATTCTGAGCACAAACACAATATAACAGAAATCTCAAAGGATATGCTGTATGTGTCCTACAAGTCAAATCCAGCTTCCTGGGTATCAAGGAAGGTAGAAATTATATGAAGGGACTGAGCAGGCATGAACATTATTAAGAATGATGATGACGCTTAATGGAAATGTCATCTCCAACACAATGTTCAACCCATGCCTTTGGAAACAGGGAAAAGAAATGTACTTAGTTTCTTATAAGACTGCCTTGGGTTCACTGAATATTTCCTGCTATTCTAGACAGCATATTCTACATTCTGTGAAGCAGATACATTTACCAAGTGAAACCAAGTTGCTGTAGTTCTCCATCATCACATCCCAGTACAAGTCCCTCTGAGCAGAATCCAGATAGTCCCACTCCTCCTGAGAGAAGTTGATGACCACATCCCTGAATGTCAACAATTCCTGAAACAACAAACCACATATTGTAGGTAAAATTGAAGGAAATATTCTTTGGTTTTTTTGAGGAAGATTAGCCCTGAGCTAACATCTACTGCCAATCCTCCTCCTTTTGCTGAGGAAGACTGGCCCTGAGCTAACATCCGTGCCCATCTTCCTCTACTTTATATGTGGGCCGCCTACCACAGCATGGCGTGCCAAGTGGTGCCATGTCCGCACCCGGGATCTGAACAGGTGAACCCCGGGCCGCCAAAGCGGAACATGCGCACTTAAGCGCTGCACCACTGGGCCGGCCCCTGAAGGAAATATTGAGAAAAACACAAGAAATAATGAATTTCATTACAAGAAGGATACTACATAGCAAACAAGTAGGCCAGGGATAGAAGGCTATGGTATGGAAAGTAAGGAAATTAGTGCTTCCAAAACAGACAATCTACATTTCTTTAAAGAATCCATTTGATTCAGAGTGATCTTCCTCCATTTTATGGGCGTTTTTAATTAGCTAAGCATGCCTGGAAATAAACAAATATAATCATTTTACAAATTAAAAGAAATAGTGTACACATGCACATTGCATGCTTTGTGATTGCCACATGAATTATCAATAAAGGTGAGTTTGTACATCCTTGTTTCTTTGGACAGCAAAAATATCTTACTTAGAAAATGGGATATGAACAATACTTTAAAATTTCTTGCAGCCCCAAGTTCATCACTACGTTAATCATCATCATTTCATATTGTATGATAAGAATTATTACTTCTAATGACAAATTACTTAGTAAATACTTTTTAGTGGCTACAGAGTAGTCTATTTGGTGAAAATATATCAGTCTTAATTATACTTAGACATTTAGGTTGGATAAGATCAGCTCTAATTCTGGAAGTCTGTAATCATCTACTATTTATGTATGACTGAGATCAGTCAACGTCACATCCAGTCTACCTGGAAACTCAGGTCTATTCAGGAGAAGTACAGAGTTTGCCCAGAGATCATCAGATGAATCCATCTGCTCTTTTTCTAGGAATATGAAAAAAGGATGGGAAAGGCCTCCATCTGGCGATTCTATTTCTACCCTATAGCTGCTCTTGACAAAAGACTGAACACACAGGAGTGTTGAACATTATTTGGAGAATAGATAGGCATATAGGAGGTACACTAGGATGTGGAGCAGGCTCTTTATTTGGGCTGTTTGGTAGGAAGATTCAGAAAAAGGAAATGTTCACAAAGGAGACTGAAATATCAACTTACATGGTCCATGGTTAGAACTGTCAAGAATTGGTCAGGGAATTCCACTTCTGGCATCATGGCATGAGGAGCTCCACAGGCAGGGTCCCCATCAAAACTGGTGAAAATTATATATAAAAACATATAGAAAATGAAACACTTGTTAACGACCCAGCTATCCCACTACTGGGTATCTATCCAAAGAGCTTGAAGTCAGCAATTCCAAAAGTCCCATGCACCCCAATGTTCATTGCAGCATTATTTACAATAGCCAAGATGTAGAGGCAACCTAAGTTCCCATCAACAGATGATTGGATAAAGAAGATGTGGTATATATATGCAATGGAATACCACTCAGCCATAAAACAGAACAAAATCATCCCATTTGCAACAACATGGATGGACCTTGAGGGAATTATGTTAAGTAAAATAAGCCAGATAGAGAAGGACAATCTCTGCATGACTCCACTCATATGAAGAATTTAATAATGTAGACAAAGAGAACAGATTAGTGGCTACCAAGGGAAAGATGGGGTGGGGGGTGGGCACAAAGGGTGAAGGGGTGCACCTACAACATGACAAACAAACAATAATGTACAACTGAAATTTCACAAGATTGTAACCTATCATTAACTCAATAAAAATTATATATTAAAAAAAAACCCAGTATGGTACTGGTACAAGAACGGAAACATAGATCAATGGAACAGAATAGAGATCCCAGAAATAAAACCACGCCTATATGGCCAATTAACCTATGACAAAGGAGGCAAGAATACACAATGGAGAAAAGACAGTCTTTTTAATAAATGGTGTTGGGAAAACTGGACAAACGAAAACGAATATAACTGGACCAGTCTCTTACACCCCATACAAAAGTAAACTCAAAATGGACTAAAGACTTAAATGTAAAACCTGAAACCATAAAACTCCTAGAAGGAAACATAGCTAGTAAACACTTTGACATTAGTTTTAGCAATATTTTTAGGGAGCTGTCTCCTCAGGCAAGGGCAACAAAACCAAAAATAAAGAGGATGACATGAAACTAAAAAGCTTTTGCACAGTGAAGGAAACCATCAACAAAATAAAAAGGCAACCTACTGAATGGGAGAGTATATTTGCAAATGGTATATCCAATAACTGGTTAATATCTAAAATATGTAAAGAACTCATGCAACTCAATATCAAAAAACAATTAGATGAAAAAATGGGCAGAGGACATAGACATTTTTCCAAAGAAGACATACAGATGGCCAACAGACATAAAAAGATGCTCAACATCATTAATCATCAGTGAAATGCAAATCAAAACCACAAAGATATCACCTCACACCTGTCAGAATGGCTATTATCAAAAAAGACAACAAATAACAAGTGTTGCCAAGGATGTGGAGAAAAGGGAACCCTTGTGCACTGTGGGCGCAAATGTAAACTCGTGCAACCACTATAGAAAACATTATGAAGTTTCCTCAAAAAATTAAAAATAGAACTACCATACGATCTAGCAATTCCACTTCTGGGTATTTCTCCTAAAAAATCAAAAACACTAATTTATAAAGATATATGCACCCCTATATTCATTGCAACATTATGTATAAACCCAACACATGCAAGCAACCTTCCTAAGTGTCCATCGGTAGATGAATGGATAAAGAAGATGTGGTGTATATACACACACACACACACACACACACACACACACACACACACACACACTGGAATATTATTCAGCCATACAAAGAAGGAAATCCTGCCATTTGCGACAACGTGGATGAACCCTGAGGGCATTATGCCCGGTGAACTATATCAGAGCGAGAAAGACAAATACTGAACAATCTTAGTTATATGTGGAATCTAAAACAAAAACAAAAACAAAATACACAAACACACACACACTCATAAATACAGAGAACAGACGGGCGGTGGTCCAGAGACAGGGGTCAATGGTGGGTGAAGTGAGTAAAGGTGGTTAAGGAAGGTACAAACTTATACTTAAAAGATCAGTAAGTCCTGGAGATGTAATGTACATAGTGAGTATAGATAGCAATACTGCATTGTATATTTGAAAGTTGCTAAGACAGTAAATCTTGAAAGTTCTCATCAGAAGACAAAAAAAATTTTGACTGTGGTAATGAATGTTAACTAAAGTTACTGTGGTAATCATTTTGCAATATATACATATACCACATCATTATGTTGTACATCTAAAACTAATATAACGTTATATGTCAAATATATCTCAATAAAAATAAAGGAAATAAAGAACAATAGTAAAGGCAGTTAAAAATGTAAATATATAACCCAATATTATTTTGAGTTTGTTGGGCCTCTTTTTTTAAATGTCTTTAAAGACAAATCCATGAAACAATAATTATAAACATATGTTAAAGGGCACACAGTGTATAAAAATATAATCTGGGACAAAAACAACATAAAAACGGCAGGCCAGAGCTGTATAGGAGCAGAATTTTTGTATACTATTAGAGCTAACTTGATGTGCAGTAAAAGGTTACCTCAGGAGATCTGGAATGTTCAGGGGCCGGCCCCGTGGCCGAGTGGTTAAGTTCGCACGCTCTGCTTCAGCGGCCCAGGGTTTCACTGGTTTGGATCCTGGGCACGGTCATGGCACTGCTCATCAGGCCATGCTGAGGTGGCATCCTAAATGCCACAACTAGGAGGACCCACAATTAAAATATACAACTATGTACTGGGGGGATTTGGGTAGAAAAAGCCGAAAAAAAAAATATTGGCAACAGTTGCTAGCTCAGGTGCCAATCTTAAAAAAGAAAAAAAAAAAAGATGAGCTGGAATGTTTAAACCCTGCCTATTCCAAAGAAAGATCTAGGCCCTTGACCAGCCCTTGGTAGATTACCTCCAGTCCCTAGCATATCCAGCATTTATGGATTTTAATCCGTATTCTGTCACTCTAAAAAAACCCATAACTGTGAGTACAATAGCCTTTCCCTTTTATGCGAGTCCTTCAAGGAAATCATTGAACCTGAGAGTGGTCTTGGGAACCACTGAAAAAAGTTGACTTTATTTCCAACTAGTTTGTTATAAATGTAAAATTTTAATCTCCAGGATAAATGCTGAGAAAATAACTAAATAGTATAATGAATAGGAAAAGAAGGTATCAAAATGGTAAAGTACAAGAAAATAAGTTAAACAGAAAAGGAGTCAGTAATTAGGGAGAGAGAAATAAAACACAGTATATATAGAAACAAGTGTCAAAATGGCAGAATGGATAAAAAAATATGGCCCAGCTGCATGCTATCTATAAGAGACTCATGTTAGATCCAGAGACATAAATAGGTTGAAAATAAATGGATGGAAAAATATATTGCATACAAATAGTTATTAAAGAGAGCAGGATGGATATACTAATATCAGACCGAATAAGCTTTTAGTCAATAATTCTTAGAAGAGGCAAACATATATATTCAAAAAAATTTTTTTAAAGATTGACCCTGAACTAACTTCTGTTGCCAATCTTTTTTTCTTCTCCCTCAAGTCTCCCAGTACACAGTTGTATATTCTAGTTTTAGGTCCTGCTAGCTCTGCTATGTGAGGCACCACCCGAGCATGGCTTGATGAGCAGTGCTAGGTCTGTGCCCAGGATCTGAACTGGCGAAACCCTGGGCTGCCGAAGCAGAGTGTGCAAACTTAGCCACTCAGCCACAGGGCCCACCCCAAACACATTATATATTGATACAAGGGTCAATCTATTAAGAAGATATAATGATTATCAACATATATGCCTTAAAGCCCCCAAATATATGAAGAAACAACTGACAGGACTGAAGGGAGAAACAGACAGTTCTATAGTACTGGAGACTTCAATAAACCAATTTCAATAATGGATAGAAAAAGCAGACAGAAGATAATTGGGAAACAGATGACTACAGCAACAGTATAAATCTTCTAGACCTCTCAGATATATACCAAACACTCCTGCAAATAACAGCGGAACACATATTTTTCTCAAGTGCACATGGAATATTGTCTAAGATAGACCATATTTTAGGCCACAAAACAAACTACAACACAATTGAGTATTATCCAGCCATACCAAGGAAAGAAGTACTGATACATCATGTCATGGTTGAAAACATCATGCTAAGTGGCCAGAAACAAAGGGCCACATATTATTTCATTTATATGAAATATCCAAAATAGGCAAAACCATAGAGATTGAAAAATTAATTGTTGCAAGGGCTTGTGGGAGGGGCAATGCGGAATGATTGCTTTAACGTGTTTGGCAAGCCTGTTGGGTGATGAAAAAGTTCTGGAACTAGATAGTGGTGATGGTTACACAATACTGTGGATGTACTTAATGCTATTGAAGTGTATACTTTAAAATGGTTAAAATAGCAAATTCTATGTTATATATATTTTACCACAATTAAACTAACAGAAATGAGACAAAGAATTCATCAATAATGGTCAGAGACTTCAATACTCCACATTCATAATGGATAGAACAATTAGGGAGAAGATCAACACAGAAATAGAAAAGTCTACAACCAACAACACTATAAACCAAATAGAGCTAACATTCATCTATAAAACACTTCACCCCACAAGAGTAGAACACACTTTCTTCTCAAGTGCACATGGAACATTCTGCAAGATAAATCATATGCTAGTTTATAAGAGAAACCTCAATAAATTCAAAAGAATAGAAACAATATAAAGCATGTCATGAAACCATAATCGAATGAAATTAGAAATAAATAATAGAAAAACGAGAAACTCAATAATATGTGGAAATTAAAAACTACTAAAAAACCAATATGTCAAACAAGAAAACACAAGAGAAACTAGAAAAGATTTTGTGACTAATAAAATGAAGATGCAACACATCAAAACTTAAGAGATGCAGCTAAAGCAGTGCTTAGGAGAAAATTTACAGATTAAAATGCCTACAGTTACAAAGAAATACCTAGGTCAAATCTAACCTTCTACCTTAAGGCACTGGGAAAAGAAGAGCAAACTAATCTAAAGCAAGCATAAGGAAGGAAATAATAAAGATTGCAGTGGAAATTAAAGATAGAGAAAGTAAAAAATAATAGAGAAAATGAATGAAACCAACAGCTGGGTTTTTGAAAAGATTTTTAAAAGGTCACAAACTTTTAGATAATCTAGCATGACTAAAGAGAATACTCAAATTACTACAATCTTAAGTGAAAGAGGGGACATTACTACCAGGCTTACAGAAATAAAAATTGATTGCAAAGGAATACAATGAACAATTGTACACCAACAAATTAGAAAAACTAGGTGAATTGGACAATTTCCTAGAAACATACAAACTACCAAACTCACTCATGACAACAGAAAATCTGAATAAACCTATAACAATAGATTGAATTAGTAATCAAAAAACTGCCCACAACGAAAAGCCAAGGTCCACATAGCTTTACTGTTAAATTCAACCAAACATTTATAGCAGAAGTAATACTAATTCTTCAGAAACTGCTTAAGAAGTAAGAGGAGCAGAAACTTCCTAACTCACACTGATATGAGGACAGTATCAACCTGACATGAAAATCAGACAGACACTATCCAAAAAGGCAACTATGACCACTATCTTTTATTAATTTGAATGCAAAAACTCAACAAAACACCAGGAAACTGAATCCAGTAACATATAAAAAGAATTAGATACCATAACCAAGTGGGACATATCCCCATAATGCAACAATGGTTTAATATCTAAAAAGCAATTAATGTAATACACTATATTAATAAAAAATAAAAACCATATGATCCTCTTCACACTTGAAGAAAAAGCATTTGACAAAATCCACCACCATTTCAAGACAAAAGACAGCCAAGAACCTAGGAAGAGGAGGGAACTATCTAAACATGATAAAGTGACAGCTACCGTCTGACTTAATGGTGTTTTTCCTTTAAGATTAGGACAAGACAAGGACATACATTCCTTCCTTTTCTAATCAACATTGTTCTAGTGGTCTAGCCAGAACCAGTAAGAAAGATAAAGAAATAAAGGCAACCAGATTGGAAAGAAAGAGGGAAAACAATCTCCATTAACAGATGAAATGACCATGTTTAAAGAAAATCCTTAAAAAATCCACTGAAACACTCTTAGGAGCATAAACAAACTCAGCAAGATTGTAGAATACAAGTCAATATGCTAAAATCAATTATACTTGAGCCAGTCCTGATGGCCTAGTGGTCAAAGTTCGACGCTTTCACTGCTTCAGTCATCTGGGTCCAGTTCCCAGTCACAGAACTACACCACTCGTCTGTCAGTAGCCATGCTGTGGCGGCAGCTCACACATAAGAACTATAAAGACTTACAAGTAGAATATACAACTATGTACTGGGGCTTTGGGGAGGAAAAAAAGAAGAGGAAGATTGGCAACAGATGTTAGCTCAGGGTAAATCCTCCCCAGAAAAAAAATAAAAAATCAATTATACCTCTATACATGTACAATGACTATCTAAATTAAGAAAATAATTCCATTTATAACAGTATCCAAAACAATAAAATATTTGGCAATAAATTTAACACAAGTGCAAACTGTACACTTAAAAACTATAGAACACTAATGAAAGAAATTAATTAAATGCAAAAGCATCCCATGTTCATGAATTGGACCACTTAATAGTAAGATGGCAATATTTCTCAAAGTGATTTACAGGCTCAATTCAACCCCTATCAGAATCCCAGCTGGCTTCTTTGTAGAAATTGACATGCTGATTTGAAAGTTCATATGAAATTGCAAGGGATTCAGAATAGCCAAAACAATCTGAAAAAAGAACAAAGTTGGAGGACTGATGCTTCACAATTCAAAAGTTACTGCAAAGCTACAGTAATCAATACAGTGGGACATTGGGATAAAGGTAGATATATTAGTCAATAGAATAGAATTGACTAAAAATTAAATCCATGTGTTTATGGTCAACCGATGTTTTACAAGGGTGCCAAGACCCTTGGAAATGACAGTCTTTTCAATAAACGGTGATGGGGAAAAAAGGATATCAACATGCAAAAGAATGACATTGGCCTTTTCCTCACAATATATACAAAAAATCAACTAAAAACAGATCAAAGGCCCAAAATTAAGAGCTAAAACTATAAAACTCTTAAAATAAAATAAAGGAGTAAATCATCATGACCTTAGATTTGGCAATGGATTCTTAGATATAACATCAACAGCATAAGTAACAAGAAAAAATTGAAGAATTAGGCTTCATCAAAATTAAAATCTTTTGTGCATTAAAGAGCATTACAAGATGGGGCCCAGCCCCGTGGCCAAGTGGTTAAGTTTGTGCGCTCCACTTCAGCGGCCCAGGGTTTCGCCAGTTCAGATCCACAGACATGGGACCGTTCATCAAGCCATGCTGAAGTGGCATCCCACATGCCAAAACTAACAGGACCCACAACTAAAAATATACAACTGTGTACCAGGGGACTTTGGCGAGAAAAAGGAAAAATAAAATCTTAGAAAAAAAAAATTCCTTTTAAGTGCTTATCAACATTAACTGTATATTTTCACTGCTCTTAAATTACAGAAAATTTATGGGGAATACTTAGAATCTCCACATACCAACAACAGCGTTTTTTTTCCCTTGAGGACTTATTAAATGCAAGGCCCATATTAAGTGCTCTGGGCTTTGCCCAAATTCATGTTATCAAATGCTCATAAAAACCCTAAGGCATTGATGTGATCATTATCTACATTCTACAACAAGAAATTGTAAAACGTAAAGATTAATAACTATTGACCTTGAAATGTGACTAGCATGAACAAGGAACTGAATATTTAATTGAACTTTAATTAAAACACAAAAGCGATATAAAACGTTTTTCAATTAAACATAACTTTATTGTTTTGGTATGACTCTATTTCACCTCAAGCACTGAAAATTTGGCATCCAAAGTGAGAAGTGCTGTAACAGTAAAATATGCACCAGATTTTGAAAACTTAGTATGAAGATATGAATGTAAAATACCTCAATTTATTTATATTACATGTTGAAATAATATTTTAGATATATTGGTTTAAATAGGATGCATTATCACAATTTTAAGTGTTTCTTTTTACTTTTTAAAATGTGAACAGAAATTTTTAAATTACATGAGTGGCTGGCATTATATTTCCATTAAACTGTGCTGCTTTAGACTCAATACCACTACACCATGCTGCCTCTCCCAGTCGACGCCAATAATGTGTCTTAAACAAAATCATACATATATGTATGTATGTATGAACATACATACAAATCTCAAACAAGACTTGGTTGTCACCATTCAAGTCTCCTCATAGACTCTCTGGAAAAACTCCCTGCCCTTTTCACATAGACCTCTCTTCACAAAACTCCAATCATGTTCCCACTCCTAAATGTCTCTAAAGCCACCTTTGTCACTTACTGATTGGAATCAAACCATTTCCTACCTTGCTTTGTTTGAAAATCAAGTCTGTGAATAAAATCAAAGGTATCTGTTATGTTATTCCACCCTAACCACTGGTCTCTTCCTTAACGAGTCAAATTCTACAATAAGTCCTCAATTTATCCTCCACGAGTTCTATTTCTGTGTCACCTTTGGGGAAGAAAAGAGCAGAGAGGGGAAGTGAACGATTTACCCAGTGGGGATGTGAATATTAACTGGGCAGGAACAGGGTATTTGGAAAGGCACGGGAAGACAGAGGGACCCGTCCTATGGTCTCATTATTAATCAGGAAAGGGAGGCCTAGGGACCAGGTAAATGGATAGGTCAATTAGGCAGGGCAATCTAGGAGAAGGAAAGCAAATATTCTATGTTCTGTAAAACAAAAATGTATGACAACAAAAAGTAAACACGAACTGACCTTGAACGGGCCATTATGTAAGTGGCAATGCTCTCCTCCACTTCAGGAGCCTTCTCTGGCAGAACTATAGGACCAAGAAGAAGGGACTTGTGAGACCCTGGACTGGCTAAATACAACACACTGTTCACCACCAGACATGGCCCATCGCCCACCACAAATACATGCAGATGGAAGTAGGAGGGAAACTAGAATACTGCTGACTTTTGCCATTATCAGAGAAAAAGGTCAGCATCACCTCTGCCCAGAGCTGGAATGGAAGTGCACCGCAGTTTAAGAGGGCACAGCTCAGGGAATGCTGGGGTTCTGAAACGTGTAAATGGCCTCCAAAGTGCATCCAGAGAGGTTCACCCAGGAAGGAACCCTACACCTGTGCCCTTCCCCTCATGTTTTCCCAGAAGCCTATCCTGAAGTCAAGCGCAAGCCGAAATTCCCATCCCATGACTTGGGATGTACTCTCCACTTGGCACTTTCATTCTAGGGGTGAAATTCATGACTTCCTCCCGATGACCATTTCTCTGCAGCTACATCGAAGTGGCTGTAGGGTGTAAAGACAGGAGAGAATACAGGGAAACACGTTCCAAGAAACCAGGGAACCTACAACTGGACTCACTTCACCAACGCCCCCTCTGTGTTAAGCACTAGGCTAGGTGCTGGCGACAAGGTGAGACATCTATGTGTGTGTATATAAAAAAGTGTTTACAGGCTCACTGGAAAAAAAACAAGCTCCAAACTCCTACAAGCTCACTGAAAAAAAACACTCCACTTCGTTAACACAGTCGGTCACAGCTATTACAGGATGACTGGGTCACAGTGTCAGCCCCCCTCGTCACCAAAGACCCTGGTCACCCAATAGGCCCCGCCCCCTCTGACAGTTCCCACGAGCTCAATCAGCCGCCCAGGGCCCGTCACACTCACGCTGTTTCTCCCTCTCACTGACACGCGCGGACTAACTCCACAGTGACGCCGTCACAGACGAGCCCCCGCAGTCCCGTGCTCCGCGGCTCACGCACACACAGCCTCGAGGCTCCAATGTCCCCTCCGCGCCCCGGGCGCTTGAGGCCTCACCGCGAGCCCCTCCCGCAGCCGAACTGGGTCACCTCAACTCACCCGGCTTAACCCAGTAACCACGAAGACACCGGAAGGGGAACCAAGGGTCGAAGTTCTCGCGGCCCTGGGGCCTGTGGGAAACGTAGTGCAGAAACGAAAACGTCCCGCTTGTGTAGCTGGGGGCTCAGCTCACCGCTGCGGAGCCCGGGAGGCTCGTGGGAGGCCCGGGGCCGGCCGCTCGCCGAGGCCGAGGGTCGCCGCTGTGGCTCTTCCAGACTCCCAAGAGCCAGGTGATGGTCTGGGAGCGAGGAGAGGGGGTGGGAGGAACCAGAACCCAGCACCCAAGCCCAGGAAGCAGTCGCAAACCGGGGCCCGGGGGCGCAGCAAAGGGAAGCGGAAGCCCGGCCGTGGCAGCCGAGGAGGGAAACGGAAGAAGCCGGGCCCGGGAGGACCGGGTGCGAGCCGGAAACCCGCCGGGAAGGGCCGAGGCGGGGGAGCCGGGCCGGGGAGGGCCGAGGCGGCGCCCGGAGCTCGGGCCGAGAGCTCGGGCTGGAGCCGCAGCCGGCGGAGGCTCGGTTCGCTCAGGCCTGTGCGTGCGGGACCCGGGGTCCGCGGTCGTGGACCAGGTGACGGATGGTAGTGGTGGTCTTGCTTTTGTCCGTTTGGCCCCTTGAGAAAGCCCCAGGGCGGCGTAGCGAACGCTGTGCGCGTGTGGCGCCCTGGCGCGTGTTACACCGTCGCCGCCAGGAAGTCCCGCGGTGCCCTTTTCCAGTCAGTGTCACAACAGAGACAGCCAGGTTCTCGTATAGGTCACCGTCTCTTAGTGCTGTCACTTCTACAAGTCCATATGTCTCCTTTAGCTCATCTGACTTCTGTAAGATTTTTAATGTTGGGTAGTTCGTTCTTTTTATTTCTGAACAGCTTTCCACTGTGCGGATATGCCACACTGTGTTTATTGGTTTTTCTCATGATGAACATTTGGTGTATTTCCAGGTTTTATATATTATGAATAAAGCTGGCATGTTTCTGTTTCTCCTGGGGAAATACCTAGAAGAAAACATGCTGGGTAATAGGTAAGTTTATGTTTAACTTTCTAAGAAGCTGACAAACCTTGTAGAATGATTAGTTGTGAGTGATTTGTGTTTGAGACTATGTGTGACTCTGGGGTAAGTGGTTTCTGAGTTTCAGTTGGTCGTCTTCTTTGAAATGATGAGATGGGCTCGGTGGAGTTATCAATGTCATGTAGGGTCTGTGGCATTGTGGTTTTGTGAAGTAGATGAGATCTATAGGAGACTGAATGTGTCTGCACCAACTCTTTATCATTTTTGTGTGTTCATTTTATGGTGACTGAAAGTGGATCACTACGTAGGTAATATTAATGAATAAGTGAGAAACTATGCAACTGGTTAGGTATGTGTCATTGTGATTCTGCTTGAAGAATTATAACTGTTTCTAGTCAAGTAAAATAGCAATATAAGAGCCACAGGAAGTGAAAACAGGGTATCAGAGATATCTGCACTTCCATGTTCACTACAGCATTATGAGCAATAGCCAAGACATGGAAACAACCTGTGTCCACTGACCAATGAATGGATAAAGAAAACATGGTGTATATGTATACAGTGGAATATTATTCAGCCTTAAAAAAGAAGGAAGTCTTGGGGCCGGCCCCATGGCCGAGTGGTTAAGTTCACACGCTCTGCTGCAGCGGCCCATGGTTTCACCAGTTCGGATCCTGGGCGTGGACATGGCACCGCTCGTCAAGCCACGCTGAGGCGGCATCCCACATGCCACAACTAGAAGGACCCACAACTAAAAATATACAACTATGTACCAGGGGGCTTTGGGGAGAAAAAGGAAAAATAAAATCTTTAAAAAAAAAAGAAAAAAAAGAAAGAAGTCTTGCCATTTGTGACAACATGGATGGACCATGAGGGCATTATGCTAAGTGAAAGAAGTCAGAGAAAGACAAATACTGTATGTTCTCACTTATATGTGGAATCTAAAAAAACTGAACTCATTGAAATAGACAGTAGAATGGTAGTTGGGGTCGGGGGAGAAATGGAGAGATATTGGTCAAAGGGTACAAACTTCCAGCTAAAAGAGGAATAAGTTCTGGGGATCTGATGTACAACATAGTGATAATAATTAACAATACTGTTTATTATATACTTGAAAGTTGTTAAGAGAGTAGATTTTAAATGTCATTATCACAAAAAAAGGTAATTCTATGAGAGAATGGAGGTGTTGGTTAACCTTATTGTGGTAATCATTTCACAATATATGGATGTATCAAATCATCACATTGTGTACCTTAAACTTACATATGTCATTTAAAAAAAAAGAATTGGAATGCAGGAGATAAAATTGTAATTTCTAGATGACAATATTGCATACTTGGAACACCACAGGAACTAATTCTACTATGTTGAAATGACTAGGACTCAATAGGTAGCACACAAGAAAATAGTTTCTTTTTACCTCTATGTACTACTTTTAACAGATTTGAGTGAGGTGGGGTTTTTTCCCCCCTGTTCCTGGATGAAATCATGGGTGATTTAATAACTCTTTCACACACTCTATGCCAAGAAAAAGTATCTGAAATACTTCTAATCACAAGGTCAGTTTCATGGTAATTAAAATAGTAATTTTCTAGTAAAAATATTTACTGTCGGGCTGGCTCCGAGGCCGAGTAGTTAAGTTCGTGCACTCCGCTGCAGGCGGCCCAGTGTTTCATTGGTTCGAATCCTGGGCGCGGACATGGCACTGCTCATCAAACCACGCTGAGGCAGCGTCCCACATGCCACAACTAGAAGGACCCACAACTAAGAATATACAACTATGTACCGGGGGGCTTTGGGGAGAAAAGGGAAAAAAAAAATTTACTGTCAAAGTAGTATTTCAAACTTCATTTAAAGGAAAAATTTCTTCCATCTGATTGTAGCCTGCAGTGTAGAAAAGCACATAATCAATTTCTTTATTTCCCTGACCATATTACTGAGTAGTTAATATTTAGCATAATGATTATTCATTAATATTTAATAGCAAATGTTCACTACTTAACTAGGCAGATGTAACCAAGTTATTATGGAAACTCTGAGGTAAGTGGGGTTTCACATGGCTTCTTTTGCCTCCCTTCTCTCCCCCTTCTTCACTTTTCCAAAAAAGAAGCCACCAGAGCAAAGGTTCTCTCTGGGAAATCCTAAAGCCATGGCTCAGATGAGATGATGTTTCTTCTCTCCTGTCTGAAATAGTCTTTTTCCCCCTAGCATATATGAAACTTCCTGGAGATATGATTCCCTTTCATGAAACTGGTCTACATTTCCTTTTATTTTTTCTAGATAAACCTGTGCCTTTTCCAAGTTCTTCTAATTTCAACTTATTAATTGGATATTTCACTCAACATTTCCTTTCTCATGCCCACAAACAGAAATACATTCTCTAAATAAGAATATATTCTCTGGATGAACCTCTCTCGTCTAGGCAGTGGTTTGATGTCTAAGTAGTGAGTGCTTAGAAGAGCTCATAGAAGGAAAAGATTTCAGTACGTCCATAGACCTTGGCTTTCTAGTGAGTAAAGACAGCAGTAAAATCAGTAGATTACAATATTAGTATATGGCAAGAAGGGAGGTCCCATGTCACACTGTGTCCTCTCTTCCCCTCCAACTCACCCTTCTGGATCATGTTTCTTCATCTCTCCCTTGTAATCATATCCCAGGATTGCCTTGTCTCATTTATATGCATCTACTCTGTGACAGGTAGCAAAGGCATGGAAGTAATCTATGGTTGAAAGAACAGATAGGAAAACCTACTCTCTATACATAAAAAAGCACTAGAGAAGAGAGAGGACAAGAGAAGCAGGTCCATGGTGACAGGAGCCTAGGAATGGAGCAGGCCTTGGACCTCAGTAAAGGAAGAAATGGTGTCCTAAGCCTTCCTTTAGACATAAGTTCGATACTACCCATTCTTGTTCTCTTCTCCACTCCTCCCTTATGTTTTTTACAAGAGGAGGAAATCATTCCAATTTTTTTTCCCTCCTCCAGGTACAGGGCAAGAAGAAATTGCAGAAGAAATTTTTTAAGAAGAGAGACATAAAAAAATGGATGCCTGTCCCTGCTCCCCCTACAAACACATAAAATGCCATCTAAACTATAACAAAATGTCTTAAAAATGGTCAAGTTTGAGAGAAAAGAAAAAAGGAAAATTCTGCATCCAGAAACAAAGAGCTGAATCAAAACAGTGCATGTAAAGGTAACCTTGAGCCGACGCCTCAGAAACCCCAAAGAGATTTTAATCCCACATGTAATGCTTAAGAGTCCTGACTGAGGTCTGGGGTTCTACTTTCTACACAGGAACAGGGGGCAGAGAGCTGAAACTAAGATGCTGCTTAGTTCTATAAAATATTTCTAGAAAAATGCTACTCACTGGCCCAAAGAGATGAGGGAACTTGCAGTCTCTGGGTTTTTTTAGGGGTGTTGTGAGAGTGAGGAACTCACCCATGAGACTTGGAAACTCTAGGACTTTACCTGGAAATGTGGGATATAAATATTCAATTTTATACGACATGGGTGATATAGAAATTCTAAGCTAAGAAATTAACTTAAAAACTGGCCCAGAAAAATATATACATAAGTATAAGAAAGTTGGCATTGCTATAGTAATATCAGACAGTAGACCTCAAGTCAATGTGTATTACAAAAGATAGAGATGTAACATAATCAAAAAAGCGATTCATTAGGAATGTGTATGCATATATCTGTTCATCAGGAATATGTATGCTGCTATGAACTCATTATGAGAGCATTAAATTTCATGAAGCAAAAACTGTGAGAACAAAAGAGAGAAATAGACAATCCACAATTACAGTTGGAAATCCATAATCATATCTCAGTAATTGATAGAACTTATAGGCAGAGTATGCAGTAGTATACAGAAGATGTTAACAACACAGTCAGTCAACATGACCTAATTGATGTTTACAGAAGACTACATGCCACAACTGAGAAATTACATTTGTTTCCTCTACATGGACATTCTCCAAGACGGACACTGTTTGAGACAATAAAATAAATCTCAATAAATTTCAAAAGATTGAAATATTATAGAACATGTTCTCAACAAGAGACGTAAGTTAGAAATCAGTAGCAATAAGACATCTACAAAATCCGTCAATACATGGAAATTAAATAACACACCTTTAAATAACCCATGGGTCAAACAACAGATCATAAGGGGAACTAGAAAATATTTTGAACTAAATTAAAATGACAATACAACATTAACAAAATTTGATAGATGCAGCTAAAACAGTGTCTAGAGGGATGTTAAAGACTTATATTAAAAGACAGGAAATTCATAGCATTATTTACAATAGCCAAAATGTGGAAGCAGCCCAAATGTCCATGAATGAATGAATGGATAAGCAAAATGTGGTATACACATACAATGAAATATTATTCAGCTGTAGAAAAGAAGAAAATTCTGACACATGCTACAACATGGAGAACCTTGAGGACATGATGCTAAGTGAAATAAGCCAGTCACAAAAGGACAAACACTGTATTATTCCACTTATATGAAGTATCTAGAGTTGTCAGGCTTATAGAGAGTAGGATGTTGGTTGCCAGGAGCTGGAGAGGAGGAAATGGAGATTTATTGTTTACTGCATACACTTTCAGTTTTGCAGGATGAAAAAGTTCTGGGGATTGGTTGTACAACAACGTAAATATACTTAACAGTGCTGGACTATACACTTTAAAATGGTTAAGATAGTAAGTTTTATGTTATGTGGATTTTATCACAATTTTTTTAAATGAAGAAAGGCTTAAAGAAACTAGAAAAAGACAAACAAAATAAGTAGAAGAAAAGAACTAAAAATGGACAGAAATCAATGAAGTAGAAAGCAGACAGTAGAGAAAATGAACAAAACCAAGAGTTTATTTGGGAAGGCTTTTAAAATTTATAAATCACTATTAAGTATAGTTAATAAAAGAGAAAACACAAATTACCAATGTCAGGAATGAAAATGGAAATATCCTACAGATAGTAAAAAATAAGGGAATATTATGAACAACTTAATGCCAATAAGACAACTTAGGTGAAATGAACTAATTGGCTTGAAAAGCACAGCTTCCCAAAACTGACTCAAGAAGAAACAGAAAAAAGGAATCTTTCTATTTATTAAAGAAATTTAATTTTTAATTTAAAAAAATTCCTACATAGGGGCCGGCCCCATGGCCGAGTGGTTAAGTTTGTGTGTTCTGCTTCGGCGGCCCAAGGTTTTGCCGGTTTGAATCCTGGGCGCAGACATGGCACTGCTCATCAAGCCATGCTGAGGCGGCATCCCACATGCCACAACTAGAAGGACCCACAACTAAAAATACACAACTATGTACCAGGGGGCTTTGGGAGATCTTTAAAAAAATTCCTACATAGAGAACCTGGTTGAGTTCTACTGGAACCCTCACAACAAATCAGCAGGAAGTAAATGCACCAATGCTGTTCTAGGCATTTTTCCAACTCAGGGCGCACAACATTTGGTTTAAAAAACAAAAAAAAAACTCTTCCCCACTGAAATGAGCTCAAAAACAAAAACTACAAGTCAACAAGGAAAAGAGTCATCAGGGGAGAGTCAGCAGGTAAAGAAAGAAAGTCACAGTGGGTGAGGGGTGGGGAATTGGGTGAAGGTGGTCAAAAGGTACAGACAAGTACTGGGAATAACTGTGAGGTGACAGATGTTAACTAAACTTAATGTGGTAATCATTTCACAATGTATATGTGTCAGGTCATTATGCTGTGCACCTTAAGCTTATACAGAGTTGTATGTCAGTTATATCAGTAAAACTGGGTGGGGGAAGGGGGAGTTTGCATCCACCATAACTGCATATAATATGACAACATGAAAGAATATAAAATAAATGTTTAAAATGGAAAAGTCATAACAAAAGCACAATATGTAAAAAAGAATCTGCAGATATTAAAAAGAACAAAGAGAATTTCCAGAAATAAAAAAAATCTAATGATAGTAAAGAATAGAGAACTTAAACAATTACTACAACTGAAGGGTAACTGATTGGACTTAATGAGAGATCACCTAGAACACAACACAGATAAAACGGAATGTAAAAGAGAAACGAAGAGATACGAAAAAAAATGAAAAGGTCCAATACACATCTAGGAAATGTTGTAAGAAATGTCATCAAAGGAGAAAAATAAAGGAGGGCAGGCATCAGAAAAGGAAATGGTTTAGAACTTTTCATAATTGAAGAAAGTCGCGATTTCAAGATGAATCAAAATAAGTCTCAAGTAGGATAATGAAAGTAGATCTAACACCTAGACACATCATGATGATACTGCAAACTTACAAAGAAATCTTTTGAAAGAAAACAAATACATGTTATTTTAAAGGAATGATGATTGGGCACATGACATATTATCAGACAATGGAATAATACCTTCAAGGTGATAAAGGAAAAACAGCAATCAAGAATGGGGCAAAATAAAGACATTTTAAGACAAAGACTGAGGATTCTTTCATAGAGTCACAGGAGAATTTCTAAAGGATGTACATTAGCAAGAAGTTAGTTAAACCTAGAAAGGTAGGAGAAATCAGTAAATATGTTAGGAAGTCTCAGTAAGCATATACTAAGTAACAATGATTAATTTTAATCGTATTTCAAAACAAATTAGATTAAAAGCACCAGATAACAATACAAAGAATGTACTTAAAGCCTTCTAAGGACTTTTTTTTTGAGATACCAATTAATTACAAGTCAAAAATGCAAGTTAAAAAATTAAAGATAACCTCTAAAAGCAAGAAAATATTTTTTAATCCAGTAGAGGGGAAAGGAGAATAAAGAAAACTTGATTGATCCCATAGAAATCAATAAAGTGTAACAGAAGAAGCAAGTACAAGTTTGATTTAAAAAGAAAGTGGGATAATGTTATAATCCAATGTTACTGCAATAAAAAAAAAAAGAAAGTGAGGAGATGGGCTATAAGCTAAAGGGAGCCCTAGTGACAGCTCTTGGGAGATGCAGACTGAGCAGAAGAGCGTGTCAGTGAGGTTGGTGAGGCTGAAGTGCAGTCCTAGCCTCTCTGAGGACACTGGGGAGAAATACAACATACGCAAATGCTGACTGCAGACAAGAGGAAAGACAATTGGTTAAATATTCAGGCCTACCACTTTCTGCTCCCTGGCTTTCCGTTACTCCCAGTCCAGAGATTTATAGGAGCTAAAGGATGGGTGTGAAGTTTTTGTATAATCTGATGTAGAAATGGGCTGCCTCCTGACCAGGAGATATTCATAGATCCAAGCTCATAGAGGTGCAGGACTGATGAGTGTTCATGAGCTCCGGGGTCAAACATATAGATTCAGTCGCCATCTGCACCATTTTTAGTTGTGCATATCCTGTAATATTACTGAGCCTCATACTCTTCAGATACAAAATGAAGACAGACATGCCTGCTCTACCTATCAGTAAATAAGGGAATAAGTTCTCTTCACTTGATCTGTTGTGAGAATGAAATGAGATGAAACATATAAAGTGTCTGCAGTGTAGTCAGTAAATTAGTGTTTTTCTCCCTGTTTATCTCAAAACTAAAAATAATAGCTGGAAAATTGCTTTGCATAGCATAAGGCACTATGCACACAAAAGAGATTACTATGAATTCTTGCTGACTGATTACTTTCAATCACATTGACATGTCCCCTTTCCTTTATTCTTCAGCAGTGGCAACATGGGTGGTAGGATTTTGGTGGGACAGGAGGTAATGAGAGCCTGGATCCTGACTGGATCCATCACCGGATGTGATGGTTAAAGATACCTAACACCACCACACAGCTCAGTTCCCAACTGGCTCAGTAACTATGGATCTCTGAGCAACATCTTAGACATTAAATATCAAATTTTCCTGTCCCTTACCTTCTAAGTCCTCTGTAAACCTAATTAGTAATTTACTTCACAATTTGCTGCCCTGGTAATAACTTTTAAACTGTCATCTGTGTTTTAATAAAAGCCATAAATATTTAGAGAGTTTTTTTCTTAAGGGAATTCTGTTTATTCCCTTTGAGCATAAAGGTATACTAAAATCCCATGACCTTCCTTAACCATCAGGGAAATGCAAAGCAAAACAATGAGATACTACTTCACACCCACTAGGTTGGCTATAATCAAGAATAAAGATAAGTATTTGCAAAGATGTGGAGAAATTAAAACTCTCATACACTGCTGGTGGGAATGTAAAATGGTGTAGTTACTATGCAAAAACAATCTGGCAGTTCCTCAAATGGTTAAACATAGATCCAATTCCACCCCAGGTAAATACCAAAGAGAATTGAAAATATATATCCACATAAAGCATGCACATAAATGTTCATAGCAGCATTATTCATAACAGCCAAAAAATGGAAACAACCCCAATGTCCATCAACGGATGAACAGATAAACAAAAGGCACTCCACACAGTGGAATATTCAGCAGTAAAAAGAAATGAATAGTGATACATGCTATAACACGAACCTTCAGAACATTATGGTAAATAAAGAAGCTAGTCACAAAGGACTACATATTGTATTTCATTTACATAAAATGTCTAGAATAGGCAAATCTGTAGAGATAAAGTGTATTAGTGTTTGCCTAGGGATGGAGCATATGGGGAATAAAAGGAGTAGAATTTGTCTTGGGGATAACGAATGTGTTCTAAAATTGTGGTGATGAATGTATAACTCTGAACATACTAAAAGCCATTGAATTGTACACTTTAAATGAGTGAATTGTTTGGTATATGAATTATATCTCAATAATGTGGTGTAAAAATAATCCATGCCTTGAGGGGTTACTACTTATTCAAACAAAGGGTTTGAGAATCTTTGTCTCACTTTAACAAAAGTCATATGCATAGTCATATGCATAGTATGTGGCCTCCAGAAGTGGCATGAAGAAATATTCTGAGGGGGATCTTGGCAGGTTTCCTCATGGCATTGCTGGGCCATCCTGGCATTCACTCCCTGCCTTGCCTTTCAATCGGAGAACCACAGTCCCCATATTCAAAGATAAAAGTAAGTAAGTACTTGATGATTTCAGGTGGGTGTGGTGGAAAG